AACTTGATAATCTTGAGAAAGCATGCCAGATTTTTTTTTTGTTTCTTCAAGTAAACACTACAGTGTGGACCCTTGGCAGTGTCGACCACACTGGGGAGACGTTTCAAATGTACGCGAGGGGTTTAGCCCTTTACTCAATGAAGGATGGGGAGGCCAAACATCAAGTAACTTCCAGGTATGCCCAAAACTAAAATTCCGTGAATCGCTGAAAACAAGTTTTCCAACACAAGTTTCTTTCCCTTTTGCACACACGATACCCTAAAAGGCACTGGTTATTTCGTCGATGCTTAAGAGGGTTCACCTTAAGAATCTGAGGTGAGTACTTCCCATTACGAGAAGAATGGAGGTGTAGAGGGAAATACCCCAGGGAATTGTGCAGTAAGGAATTGTGCAGTCAAACATACACACTTGATATTCACCAGGGAGGGGAATGGACGAATTTGGCCTTTGGCTATTCCCTGTTGAGTACGATGACGTAGGGAGAGCATTTGAAGGTCTCCGAAGCTGCGTAGTCATCCTTGTGGGAGTCCGAACTTCCTACACATGTGCATTGTGTATAGCCCAAATGACATCAACCGTGCTGTGTGCACACCAATTTTTTTCTGTGTTTCTGCATTTCATTTTCACAAAGATGGAGCTGCTAACCCATGAAGCTAAAATTAAAGGGAAACATTTGGCATCCCTCAAGCTGTTCCTCCAATCTTCTATTAAAATCCCCTTGTCTAGCAAAAAATGCCTGCAACTGCTCTATAACTCTTGACCACTTATCAACGACTTGACTGCCAAGTTATCTTCTTGATGTTCTAGTCGATCACAAGCTTGCACGTCATGTGAAACAATCAGTGTGGTCAAAGTTCTGGTGGACTTGGTGGTAGTACTACAAGTGTTAGAGCTTCTTGGTTTCTCTACCATGAAAAGGTGTTTCGACTTACTCAGGATTTGCCTTGCCATGGATTTCAAGATGAAAAGCGAAGAACTATCCCGCCTAAAGTTCAAACACAACTCATCATCTCGTCATGCCTGTTTTTTAACCACTTTGAAGATCATTTTGATACTTAACTAGTCCATTCAGTTCTCTGCTTGAATCCCCGCTGTCTCTGTCCAGTCTCTGATCCTCTTTACTGCAAGTGCATGCATAGTATTTCTTCTGCTGACCAGAGAGCCCAAGTTTATCATCATCGAAAAAAAATTATAGGATCGGTGTATATTTCGCTGCACATAAACGGTTAAACGGGTCATTGGTTTTCATTTTCGCTGCAACCAATGTCAACTAAACAAAAATTCTGTGAGCATTGCCGAAACTTCGTCTATACTAAAACGTACAGGCAGCATTTAGTGCACAACTGTGCAGTCCTCTTGCCCCCACCTGCAAAAAAATGCAAGCATTGCCAAGACTTCATCTATACTAGAACATGCAGGCAGCATCTAGTGCACAACTGTGCAGTCCTCTTTCCTCCACCTGCAAAAAAATGCAAATTAGATGGGGTCAAGAACCAAGTCCCTTTCAGTGTGCCTTTGTGTTTTAGAAGTTGTTCCTGTCCCCTTCAGGGAGGTGTAAGTTACTTAAGGCTTGACTGTATTTTTTTATGTTGTCATGGTCCACTCAGCACTACATGTACATATAACAGTATTACACCAACTGCTATCAATTTTGAAGTGTGAATACCTACAGATGCATAACTCTTTCAAAATTATCAAATTGTCTGTGGTGCAAGTCCACGTTCGCATGTCACTGATGTGTTCTACTTTGGACGAGTGATCTGCGCAGTTGGTGCATACCTCCAATACCACTTCTTCTGTACTTTGAGGAAAAAGTGCATCAATGGTGATCCTGAGTTAAGACCACAATAAAGTGATATAATTAACTAATTATAATTGATATTAATTAGTTGAAGTGATTAATATATGTGTCCTAACATACAATCCTGTTGAGGCTGTTCACTGTTTCTTAGCAGGATTTTCATTAACTTTTAAAGTAGAAGGGCACTGCCTTGTGAGTAGGCAGGTACCCTTCAAAATTGAGGGCCAAAGGCCCGAACCTCTGGGGGGATCCAGGGGCATACTGCCCCAGGAAATTTTCAAAACATAAGTCTACCAGAAACGCATTTTCCTGTAGTCTGGAAGAGAAATCTTCTTGCAATAATACATACTTAATCTAATTTTAGTAACAAGAATGG